CCCCCCCCGGCCCCCATTAGATTCAGGCGGGAAGAGCTCCCCCGTCTGTTCCCTTCGGGGGCGCCGTCGGGCCTGGAGAATCCAATAAAGGTCGAGCCCGCGCCCGCGGGTGCGCGGCGCTGATTGGCCTCGCGTTTGTTGACTCTGGCCCCAGCGGCCAAGCAACGTGCCCGTTGTGGAGACGCTGGCTCGGCTGGGGGGGCAGGAAGCTTGAGATTGCGTGGGCGTGATTGGCGCGCACCGAAGCAAGCAGCAGCAGCAGCCTATGAACCCACTGAAGCTAGGGAAGGATGCTGGGTCCCTGGAGGTGGGTGGTTCAGGACTCAGATCAGGAACTTAGGACACAAATTAGGGGTCGCCTGGGCCAGTGCTTGGCGTGGCTTTCCAGGTTGTTTGGACGGTGCGTTCGTAGCGGGCCGCTTGGTGGGCAGACAGCACCTCAACGAACGGACGGGACACATTGACTGACTGCCCCGCCGAAGGGTAGGTTCCAGGTTGTCTGCACCGTGGCGTCTACCCACACGAAAGTCCGCCGCTACAGCACCACAGCAGGCCTAACACGCCCACCACCAATCGATAACGCGCCACTCCGCGAGCTTCACACCCAAGACGTCACAGGAAAGCGGCGGCGCGACAGTCCTCCCACCGCAGCGCCATCGCACACGCTTCAATGGTAACCAGCTCCCGTCCAACGGAGCATAACTTTGCTCTTTCGTTGCAACGCAAATCCGCGAGCTAATGCAGTCGTCCCAGGCGCCCGACTCCCCCGCCACCAAGCGCAAACGCGGTCGGCCAGCGAACGCGTCCAGACCAGCCGCCGACGACGCGTCGCACGCCGACGACACCCTCACCGGCGCGAGTCGTGACAACGGGATCGCGGATGCGGACGACGAGCGCCCACGGAAACGCGGCAAGACGGCAACGGAGCAGCATAACGAACCTGCCGTTACTGCCGCAGCTCAGCCGCGGAAGAGAGGTCGGCCTAGGAAGTCCACAGACATGGCCCCCGACGCCCAGCAGCAGCAGCAGCAGCCAGACAAAGAAGACTTGCACGCTGCGCCGGCGCGGAGAGGTCGGCCGCGGAAAGACGACGCTGGAGCGCGTCGAGACGAGGCTCTAGCAGCAGAGGAGGAGGCAGCGCCGCGGAAGAAGAGGGGACGGCCTTCGCTGCAGCGGGCCGAAGACGTCGAAGGGTCAAGTCGAGAGCAGCCTGAACTTGAACCTTCAGACCAAGCGCCGCCGAAACGGAAGAGGGGACGCCCATCGCTACAAAAGCCGCCCGAGGCCGACGAGCAACCAGAGGAGCAGCAGGAAGACGACGAGGCGTCTCGAGAGACTCAACGACGGAAACGAGGGCGCCGGTCACCGAAGCCTCCTGAGGCGGAGCAAGCAGACGACGCCGATGCCACTCAGTCGCAACGGGGACAGCAAGCGGCCAGCAAGCCTCGCAAACGGGGACGCCCTTCCCTGCAGGGCATCTCGCCCGCGCAGGCCCAGAACAAGGCCCCCAAGGCGCGGCGGCGGAAGCCCCAGAAGCCGCGGCGCGACGAGGTCGACGAAGAGGAGGCCGAGGCGCCGGAGACACAGACACAACCAGACCGACGGCGGAAACGAAAATCAGCTACCGAACAACCCATTGGGCGGAAAGGCGTCCCCAAACCCGACCAGCCCGGCTCCCGGACAGAGGGCCGCAAACGTCGCCGGTCAAGTCAAGGGGATCCAGACCAACAACAAACACGGGACGAAAACGGACCGCCCTCGCCGTCCAAGCCGTACGCGCGCATCGTGCCCCGCGTCCGCCGCGTCCGCCAGGCCACCATCACCGCCAAATGGGCGCCCCTATCCGGCCCGTCCCTCCCCGCCGTCTCGACGCTGCTGCACCTCGCCCACCGGCCCATCCTGCAGCGCCTCTCCAACACGCACCAGCGCCGCGAGCACACGTCGGCCGCGCTGCGCCTCATCACGCACCGCATCGCCCGCAAGGTCACCCGCGGGCTGCCCTTTCCGCCCGCGTCCATGCCCCCGACCTCCTCCTCCTCCTCCTCCTCCTCGAAATCATCAGCAGCGGCATCCTCCGGGGCGAGGAGGCAGACGCAGCGGGCGGCGGTGGCGGACGGCGGCCGCGAGACGGAGCTCAACTTTGAGAGCGTGCTGGACGGCAAGGCGGCGTTGGAGAGGCAGCTTGAGCCTGCGGCGCATGCTGTCGAGCTGCTCCGCCGGGAGAAGGAGCACGTGGAGCAGGAGCTGGAGAGGGACTACGAGATGCTCCGGACGCTCGAGGCCGGGGCGAGGGCGCAGGCCCGCGAGCAGAGGAGCTTGCTCAAAAAGGCACACCCGCTGGTCCCCGAGGCGCCTAAGCTGGAGCCTCACCACGACGACGATGCAGACAGCCGCGTCTTCACGAAGAGCCGCGATCAAGGTCCTGACGCCCCCGTCGGCGTCTTCACCGTAAGGATCCCTCCCTGCCCTCCCCATCTCCTCCCCCATTCCCTCCCTCCCCCCGAGCAAACGCAAAAGCTCCTCCCCATTCCGCGTCTCGTCTCATCCCCTCCCCACCCAGCCCGGCAAGTCAGCTAACCGGACCAAAGCAGGACAACAACAACCTCAGCCAGGACCAGGACGAGGCCCTGCGGCCGCTCGTCGCGCAGCTGGGCGGGCACGTGGAGAGCATGCGCGCCAACCTCGCGCAGGCGGACGGCGTCGTCGCGCAGCTCGAGCGCAGCCGCGGCGCGCTGCTGGCGGCGCTGATGCGGCACCTCGGGGCGGAGCAGTACGAGCGCGTGGTGCTCGGCTGACGGGCGGGCGGTTTTTGTTTTGGACGCAAGTGGTTTCTTTCGCGTTTACCATGTTATTATGAATGAACCATTGTGTGCCAACACGTGGACCTGGTGCAGTTGTATATACTGCTGGCGCGTTTGGTGTGGGATATGGGATGCTGGCGAGGCGTACATCTTAGGCGAGGCAGGGCTTGGTCGCCGACGAATTCACGATGTTTGATCGATGATGAGCATACGCTCACGCTAAGCCAAAACCTTCACTTACATCTCACGAGTCGTGTTCAAAATGACAGTCAAAACACATCACGTCATGAGCGAGAGACACAGAAACGAGGGCCCATTGAGAGAACAAGTTTTTCATCACGCCATGTCCATGTTTCCTGTCCCGCAAACAGAGTCACTACAGCAGCAGCAGCGGCAGCAGCCCTCCCCAAGAAGAGATAAATGGTTTCGACACGGTGTGTTCCCAAGAACAACAAAAGGATGTCTGGCGCGTCTCGATCGATCTATATACACAAAGAAAGTGAAGAACACAGAATTTTGCCCCGGGAGGGAGGAAGTGTCGGAGCCAGGCGTCGGGATGGACCCCCCCGTGAGGGGTGAATATCCCGGCTCAGCATCGCCGCTCCCCCCGCCCCCCGGTCATGTACGTCCCGGTGTGCGTGCAAAAAAAAAAAGCAAGACACACATGCACTCATACAGACACCTTCACCTCATGACAAGGCCCGACGTTGCACGCTGAGGCCTCGTACAAGCGAGGGAGCGACCCCACGTTTAGCGGCGGAGGCGGGCGAAGCCAGAGGGACCGGCGGTGCCGCTGGTGTGGGTGCCGTTGCCCGTGGGGAAGGGGACGACGGTGACGGTGACCTGGCTGGTCGTGGTGGACTCGGGGCACGGGGTGGAGGTGGTCTCCGCCGTGGGCTCGGCCGTCTTCTCGGTGACAGCGGGCTGGGAGCCGGTCTGGGTAGCGTCGTTGCCGCCGCCGATGGTGACGTAGACGGTCGAGGCCGGGGCAGTGACGGTGACGGTCTGAGCAGCAGGGCAGGAGCAGTCGCCGTTGCCACCGTTGCCACCGTTACCGCCGTTGCCGGGGACGCCAGCAGTGTTGGTCGGGGTGGTCTTGGAGATGGTGATGGTGCGGGTGATCTTGGAGGTGGCCGTGGTGGTGGTGGTAGTGTCGTCCTTGCCGGTGCCAGCGGGGCCAGTGGGCTTGTTGCCAGAGTCAGTCGTCGGGGAGCAGGGCACCGTGATGGTCTTCTGGACGGTGGACTGGATGGTGGTGGTGACGACGGAGGCGTCGGTGCCGGTGCCGAGGGTCATGGTCAGCGTCTTGGAGGTGACGACGTCAGTGGTGGTCGTGGTCAGACCGGGCGGCAGGGAGGTGGCCTCGGCCTTGGAGGTGGTGGCACCAGGGACGCCAGTGCTCAGGGGAACGCTGGGGTGAATCTCGGAGGTGCGGATGGTGGCCTGGCTGGTGGGGATGGGGAGAGCGCCGCTGCTGGTGGCCTGGGAGATGATGGAGGCGGAGACGCTCGAGGCCTCGGTGACGGGGCAGACGGTCGTGGCCAGGGTGACGGTGTCGGTGACGACAAACGTGGTCCTCTGGGACTCGGGCAGGGAGGCGATGCCCGTGGAGTGAGCCGGGCAGTTGGTGACGGTGGGGGCGCAGCTGGTGACGGTGTGAATCTGCGTGGCGATGACCGTCAGGGTCGTCTGCTCGGCCGTGTTGTTGGCACGGGGGAAGTGCAGGTGCCGGGGGTGGTGGGAGTAGGCAGAGGCGGCGGCGGCCAGCATGCCGATGGTAGCAATGGCGGACTTCATCTTTGCGTTGGTGGGATACGGATGGGTGTCTTGATGATGGTAGGTGATTCTTCAGATGCCGGTGATAGGCTTGGCGAGACTTTTGCGTTGTCTATGTAAAAGAAGGATGGTGGTTTTGGAAAGAGAGCGAAAGTCGATTTCGCGTCGAGAACGGCAGAACCAGTTTGCCCACGGTAAAAGGAATGAAATGACAAGAAGAGACTGATAGTCAGGTGTTATGTTGTGAGGCGAACGATGAAGCTCTGCTGTACGTCGCGATGTGATGGACGGTGGTGATGGTATGTGCTGCGATAGCAAATGTGGACTTGCGGCTTTGAGTGTATACTCAAAACGCAACAGTTGGAAAATGAATGTAAAGAGTCACGGAGACTTGATTGGTGAAAGAAGGATGAGAGAGAGAAAGGGGGGAAGACGCAAAAGTCTTTTCGGCGAAGAATGAGAGGATAGATGAAGGTGAGGAGGAAGGGAAGAGAAAGAAGAGGAGAGGAGGAGAAGGATGGCCATGGGGGTCCGTCGACGTACATAACTCGTGCAGGGTCGTCGTCGGTAGGTCACCGAGGAGGAGCGAGTGGGCGTGGGCGGCGGTGGTGGTGAGAGGCGTGTACGTTGTACGCCCTCGACGACAGTCCCCGTACCTTGCATGGTTGGTTCGTGTGTGTGCCTGACGAGCCGCGAGATCCATGGTAACTAGCGCGTCCGTCGTTGTCGTCGCTGTCGCAGTGGGCGAAGAGGATGCATGCGCCGGTCGTGGGCGGCCAGCCAAGATCCACGGCAAGGGACCGGGGTCCAGTCCATCCATCCATGATCCATCCATGATCCATGATCCATCCGCCCATCCACAATGGTGGCTGGCGTCGTTTTGTCTTGTCTTGTCTTTGCTGTTTGGGTCTGCAGCGGCGGGCAGCGGTTCGGCTTCTCCATACGTTGCTCGTACTCGTGCCTTGGCAGGATGCCATGCCATGCCGTGCCAATGTGGTTCCCCCCCTCGTCCGCCATAACTATCCCAGACAATCCCGACAGCACTGCCACCCGGCGCGGCCGCGGTTCCAAGTTGAGTTCTTTGTACATAGAGTAGGCCGACGCGGGCGTCTGGCATGTCCTTCAGGGAGGAGGAGGAGCACCAGCAGCAGCAAAGAGCACGCCACGGCGCGAGGGAAAACCAGAACGCCAGGGTCAGTCATCCTCTGGGCCGCCGTCCCGCCCGGTCGTGATTCATGGCCAAGCATTGCAAAGGCCATGGTTCGTCCGGACCTGTATCGCGAGTGGAGGCCGCCTAATCAACCGCAAACGCGCCCTGCGGGACCGAGCGGGCGAGAACGAACTCTTTTTTTTTTTTTTTTTTTTTTTTTTACTTGCTCCTCCGCCTTCTCCGCCTCCTCCTTGCTCTTTCTCTTGTCCTCCCTCCCTCGCCCTTTGTTCGTCGTCCGTCGTCCGGGGCGGAGCGAGAGAAGGGGGGCGTGGAGATCCGAAGAGGGGGAAGGAAGAACAAGAAGAGGGAGTGGGGGGGCTGCTCGCACCGCGCCGCACCCACACAGGCGGGACTGGGAAGACGCAGGCAAGGCAGGCTTGGGGAGGGGGGAGGCATGAGGTCGAGCCAGAGAGACACGGCGAGAATGAGGACTGGCGTCGATTGGAAACGGCGGCCTCTCAGGGGCAGGTGGACGCGCTGCCGCTAGCATGCAGGTACCGACGTCCTGAGACGCGCCCGCAGCCAATCGTCCGGGGCGTCCAGGGGCTGGCGCCGGTGTTGGTGGCGCCGCCATCCCGCCGTGAGGCTCCACGGGAGGGGTATCCAGTGAGGAAGTCTGGCACTGGCGCTGGCACCTGAGAAGAACCTGCCAGTGAGTGGGAGGGGCCTAAGGTTGTTTTTTACAGCGGGCGAGTCGGTGTGCGATGGAAGTTGTGCAGCGGGCAGACGACGAACTGCGCAGTGTTGTTGATCGGGAATAAGCCCACTGATAAACGCGTCGGGAGCTCTGTACTCGTAGGCAGGAAACCGCTACTAGGTATTGCTCCGGGCAAAGACCCTCCGTAGATGCCGTACATAATGCCAGTGCGCGATATACGTTGGACTGGCAGCCGAATACTATTCGCATCCACCGGGACCCAACAGCATGGCGCCCTATCCGTAGAATGGACGAGTATGTCATCCAAGGGATAGGATATACTGTATGCACGACTCGCCTTCAGCCGTCTCCCGACGCCACCACCCGGATGCGCTGGATGTCAAGCCCGGCCGGCCCATCCCATCCAGCCAGCCAGTCAGCCCAGCATGACCAGCATGACCGTCCTGTGCCTTCTTCCCAATCTATTCGTCAATATCGCTGTTTGCGCACGCACGCACGCACACGGCCAGCATGTCTGTGCCTTCATCACAGGGGGCCCAGCGCCTGCTGCAACCCTTCAGCCGTTGCGTCTCACACTGGAACCTCCCGCTGCACCTGCACCTGCACCTGCACCTGCTATCATCACCGCACAGCCCAAGGTCTGAGCGCCTAATAATCATTGCTGCCAACGAACGCACTGCTCGACACCTCATGCAAGCCCGTCCGCCCGTCCCCTCCCCCAAGGCGCGTCCTCCCGCGCTGCTGCCGAACCACCCGCACCGCAATGCAGCGCATCGCATCGACGCGCCCGGCTCGCGAAGCGCCCATGCCCGCCATCGGCACTACGCAGCGCTAGCCAGTCATCGCAGAAAAAAAGCGGTGGCAAACCACCACCAGGCACCACCTCCTCTCTCCTCCTTCACCACTTTGCGCGTCTCGCCCTTGCCCGCCGGGTCCCTCTGGCATGTCCACCCCGCGTAACGGCAGACTTGCTGCCTGGCTTGGAACCTCGCAGTCTCGTATCCGGGCCGAGCTGCGAGACCGCGGCGGCAGTGTCACCGTGGACCCGGAAAGGAGGGCGAGGGCGCTATTGTCTGCAGCGCCACCCTTGCCTTACTCGTAGATACCAAGCCGCCATTGTCCATCCACAGCGAGGGAGGAGTCGTTTTCTTCCAGTTGGCACGACAGGCAAGGGAGCCGCAGCAGCGCCGACGACTCCACGTCGACCGTCCACGAGAGAGCGCGAGAGAGAGAGAATCGAAACCGGCATCCACCCGCCGCCGTGCAGCCACCCCTCTCCCTTCAGGTCCACACCCCCCATTCTGCATGAAACGCCCAACTGATGCCACCTGGGCACCTCTATCCTCCGTCCCTTGCCAACCTGTGAGCCTCTGTGGAAAGCCCGCGCACACAAAACCGCCGTGGCATCCCTTTCATTCCGCCGCCCGCCGCCCGTTTCAAGTCCCGCCGCCATCCATCCAGCGCCATAGTCCAACGGCGCGGATGCCTCAGTGTCACTGCCGACGGCGGCGGCGCTTGCTGTCACGCACTGATTGCGACGTGGCTGGCCTCCTTCATCTGCCCATCTCTCCCTTATCGAACCGAGCATCAACGTCTCATCCACGTCATGCGTTCCGCGGTTCGCGCCAAGATCCCGGGGAACCGGCCCAGTTCATCTCGCGCCGTGGCAGGTTGATTATGCGTAAATTTGTCCGAGGCCAGGCCCCTCACTTCCTTGCCGTAATACTACATTCTTGTATCACCGTACGCCACTGAGGCTGTACAAGTGCCGGGCTCTCCACCCGGTCAGCGTCGTCATCTCGGTCGTCCATGGTCTGAGTCGTCCGCGTACTCGTGGGTAACACGAGAACTAAGTTACATATCTCATCTCCGATGGCCTGCCGCCGACCGAGTCCAGAACGCCGTCTCGGTGTAGTCAGCCGCCGTGAAGGGCGATCCGGGTGCTGATCATCGGATCAGCGCCGCCGTGTCGGATCCGCCAGCCATGGAAAATCAGCCGCCGTGATATTCCACGCCAAGCACATACGGGACCGCCATCGCCCGTTGCATAAACTTCTGGTGCGCCGGGGTCTCTCTGCTGTTTCACGCCACCCAGACTTTCGACGTGCCCAATTCCCTGGTTTCCATTTTTATATCTGCGTGAGCCGACTCTGTCTGTCGGCGGCGTCTCATCTCATCATTCCACCTCCTCGATCCTCGGACGAGGTCGTCCAGATGCATCAACGAGATTCCCATCCGCATTGATTCGCAAACCCGCCAGCTGTGTCAGGCCAGGCGCGGTCGTTTCGCCTTGGCTCGGTAGCAGACTCCCGATCCCCAAGTTTTCAAGGCTCTCGGCGACGTCGCGAGCATGTTGCTGCACTAGGCCGTCATTGTCCGTCTGCGCCACATACTCGAGCGTTGTGTGGATGTCTTTGCGGCTGTCGCCAGTGAGCCCGAAGCCGAGTGACTTGTTGGACTCCTTTGCATCGTTCAGAGCTTTGACGAAGTTGAGGATGACCACGACTGCCGCCCTGCGAAGAATGCCCGCCTCTGGCTGCCGCTCCAGCGTGAGGATACTGACACACAGGTCAACGCCATTAGAAACCAACGTCGGCCCGATCCCGCCAATGTTGGTTTCCAGCGCCGCTCCAAATATCGACAACGACGACGTCCGCATGCGAATGTCCTCGCTCCCCCTTTTGCTGTCCCAACCCTGCACAATTTGTGCCAAAACTGCGTTGTCCGCCTTCTCCTCTTCGGTCAGGTGTTCGTCCTGCTCCATGTCTACGTCCTCGCCAGGATCTTCTGCCGCTTTCTGCTGCTTCATATTCTGCAATTTGTCTTCCCTCTCCTGTCTCGACTTTGTCTTCGGTCGGTAGCCACGGCGACCGGCAATGGATAGAAGAGTTTCGCAGGCTTGCTGCGCTGTTTCGCCAGAGAATGTCTGGCCTAGACGCTCGATGACCTGTGCCAAGGCTTCGCCGAATCTGAGCCGAATGTCGGTTGAGGCCTTCTCTTGTGGATCCAAGTAATTGTCGAGGAGCTCCCTCATTGTCGATTTGGGGTGTTTATTCGCCAGTTGTGTGAACACCTTGACGACCCTGAGATTGATGTAGTCTTCGTTTTCTTTCAGCAAGTTTGACATCAGCACGGTGATTGCGGTGATGTCCAAAATTGGGCTCTCTGCAACTATCAGGGTAGAGAGCATATTCAGCCCCTCAGACACGACCGGCGGCGGGTTATTGCTGTCGCCCGTGATGTAGTTCATGGCCAGGTTGTAGGTCTTCCTGTCCTCTATCTGCCTTGTGGAGGCCCCTGGTTTGACGTCGTCTGGATCTTCCACTTCATCGCGATACTTCAACAACATCGCCAAATTCCTTGCTGTGGGTGAGGTATCGGGTTGGTCTCTGCTGCCTATCCTGTCGAGGGCACCCTCAATGGTCCGCAGTTCGTCAGGACTGATGTCGGATTTCTGGAAGCTTGGTGCTGTGATGACTAGATTCAGCAGGCTCAGCACGACGGCGATGAGATCGTCCCCAAGCGGTGAACGCTCATCGGCTGCTAGGACCTGGCTGATGATATCCAGTAACTGGTCAAAGTGACTGACCAGCTTCTCTGGGGCTTTTTCCATGAGCGTTTGCAGTAGGCTCACCTCAACGAGATCTTCGACGGGCGTGTGCTCGTTGTCCTTTGGGTCTCTAATTTGTATACCCGTGTCGCGTTGCCTCTGAGAAGTCTCAATCCAGCGTCGCAATAGGTGGAGGAAGACTGCCGAAACTTCCTCGTTCGAGCAAGAGGTCGTGATTGTATGGACGAGGCTAGTCGTTTTTTGTTCGATGACGGCCAAATCCAGTTCCTCGTGACCTCGTGATGGTTGATCCTGGCGTTTGACGATATTCAAGCTTCCATCGTTGCCGAGATGATAGGTCCACTGGGGTTTCGATTCGTCCACCGACCCCGTGCACGTCACGTTTTGGATGAGGGGCATGATGCTATCCAGGGTGCCGAACAACCTGAGGTACGTCTGAACAAGACTGCGTGCTGCGCTACACACGTTCTGTTCAGTGGGTGCCGAGACGCCGTTCCAAGACGAGAGACTCCATAGTTGGAGGATGACTGGTCGCAGAACTCTCCTGCAAAGGCCCGGTGATGGGTTGGAGAGAATCAGGGTTTGGAGACGTCGAACTGATATCTCCAGCGATTGCGCCGACACCAGTACTTGACCTTGCCGCATGTCGATAATTTCTGGCTCAGGCTTTGCGACGTCATGCTCGCTCCTTTGCGACGCGAGGGATGGATTGATGTTCTGCAAGAGTGGCTTCACAAACGCGTTCCATCCGGGTGCACCTGGTGTCAGTTAGCAAGAGTGTAGCTGTGAGTGCCTGGTTGGAGCCAGCATACCAGGAGCACCAAACTGTCGCTTCCCGAGTATCCCAAATCCGACAATCTGCGCCGCGGTCTTGGCCAGATCGGGTCCAGCTTCGCCATCAAAGAGACTGAACAATTGACCAGAGATTCCTTCGAACCATGCATCCGGGCTCATGGAAGATGGCACGGACGATAACAGCTTGGTAGCCACCGCCACAGCTTCATGCGTGATGCCGGCACCGCCTTTCTGCGGTTGTGCCGCGTCGGTTGCTGGTGTGCTGTTGCTGGGGTGGACGGAGAAGACGAATTCCAATGTTCCTCGAACGCCATCCGGCCTCAGAGGAACAAGGGTAAGTGTTCTCAAGAGGGGTTGCCTGAGCCATGCGGGCAGGATATCTGGTTTGATGAGCGTGTTGAGTGCATGAATGAGCGCCCATGTGTCTGTACTGTAGGCCTGTCAGCTCCCTTGCCCCCGCCCGAGCATTATGTCGTGGAGTCGCACCTAGTGATGACATCGTCGTACTCCTTCGCCCGCAGCTCCCGAGAGTCTGATTCGAGAGACGAGTCGAACGCCTTTTTGGCAGCTTCGACTATCGTTTCAATAGTTTTTGGCTGCGACACCCCTTGTGCCCGTTCAGTAGAGAACCCGGACGATTCAGCCATCTGGACGAGAGTGACGGCCTTTGAGATTTGAGATAGAATTATTGCGTTGCAGCTCTTAACTCGGTAGTACCGGGTAGCTGGATGAAGGTCAATACAGTGCGAGTCACAGTGTAAATTCTTCACACACTGTGAAACTCCCGGTCACCTGCTCACGCGTCAAGATGGGCCGTGTAGACCCATATTTCCAACGCGTCCTCCAGCGTGTTTCCTTACCCAGACTGCCTCTCCCTCGCATCCCACTATGACAACACCTCATGTTACCGGATCCAGTTTGTCTACGGCCAGTTTCTGGTAAGCACTGGCTTCCAGACCGACTCTCACATACCTGGATACCATACCGGGAGCAGCTTCAACCGCCGGCTGCCACCGTACCACCGAAGCTCCTTTGTTGCCCCCGAGCAACGCTCAACTCGCACGACGCCTCCCCCACAGTTTCCCGTCTCTCGTTTTCCGAAAGGAATGTCTATCGCAGACCCCCTTCAAAGCTTGTTGGCCACGATATGCCGCTCCCGAGCCTGTATCAGGACCTCGTTGCTTGCTGCAGCTGGACCAATCGTGGACCTTGGCTGTCGGTGACCCGACGGTACAGCTCAACCGGGGGAATGAGTTTCGGAACTTAACCCTAAGTTCATTGCTGGTTCAAGTTTGCGCCATGTCGCTCAAACCGGCTTTTATGTCTGACGAGCCAACCGCGACGCTGTCTGCTTGAAAAAGCACGGCGGCTGATCGGAGGTTTTGAGGACGGACCGCTGGGGCGAGCTGTCCAGACACCCTCGTGGTGAGCAAAGGGGTTGGAGCCATGAGCCGACTCTGGCCTGAGGACGCTCGTCAGCCCTACCCGCTGGAACCCGGACGCTGGTCAACAGGAGGCCACCTCTGGATGCGAGCGGCTTTGACTGAGCCTGTCGGCTGAGGGATGTACAACCAACGACCTACCGGTCTCGATATGAGATGACGGAGAGAGATGGGCGCAGAAACGGCATCAAACAGTCAGCGAATGGGGTTTCTCCTCGATCCACAGCTTTGCCTCGTCGGAACCACTCCAGCGCTATGCTGCTGGTTGTGCAGCGAGGATTGCCTGGCTACCAACGGAAACCCCGGGTGACCTGACACTCATCTCGCCGCGCTGTGGAGCCCTCTGCACTCTCGATGTCGTCGAACTTCGACTGTGTCGTCCATCAGATCAGCACGCTCGGTGTGTCCGCCGCAACGCACCAGAGGCCACACCAAGGCACCAGCTACCGGTGTGTGATGCGCTAGCATCTGGCCCGACCAGGCGCATTAACCTCTCGCCGCCGACACATTGCCGCGGTGCCGGAGAACGCCAATTTCCCTCGACGCTCGTCCGGAAGGGTGGCATCGAGATGACAGCGCGGTTTTTGTGGATGTCTTTTGTCCGCGCGGCAATGCCCTCCTAACCCCCTCTTCCGAGAGGTTGATGGAGAGGATACAAAAACAAGTCCTTGTTGGCAGTGCATCACATACGAAAGGAGCGTTCTGGTACCGGTGAATCGGGCTCGCTTGCTGCTTGTACGGGAAAAGATAGCGACCTTGTGTTGCATTGCGTCTTGTCGGCACGATGTCTGCGGACAACGCTGGAGACAGGCCGGGACCCCTCTCGAGTGGGCGTCAAAGTTTCGTACTTGTCCGGCGGTTGAAGGTGGCGTCCAGCTACAACGTGTCCGGAATTTCGCTCTAAGCTGCACCAGCGACGCCATATTGGTTTTCAAGGGCAGGCCCAATTGGAACGGGCAGCCCTGGTTGTCCTCGTGCCAGAAATGGTGAGAGGACAACCCCCCACGATTCAGGGGATAAGTCTCTCCCCCGCTCTCAGGAAACTGAAACACGGGCTGACATTGTCTGCAGGTCAAGATTTGGGGCAGAGGAAGCTTACAGTCAGCGGTCGAGTGAGATGTGCAGGCTGGCAGGGGCTCACGGCAACAAAGAAGCATCCCAGCCAGGCCTGGATATGGGCTAACTTCCTGGAGCTAACTACTGCAGGTCCCGGCGCGGGAGGGACATTACTGAAAGAGCCACACCATGCCTTTTTCTTGACCGAGCGGCCACATGGTACAGTAGCACAAGATCTGAAGACTTCATAATTATCTACGAGTAAATACGATTGATCACAATCCCCACGCCATGTCCCCGGAATCTGGCGTCAGCTACAGATGCAGTTGGCGAATCAATGGAGCCCCAGATTCCCAGTGAAGCGGATCGGGTAGTTCGGCACGAGCTTTGATGGAGTGCCTTGCTAGTGGATGCTGGTGGCTTGCCGCCAACAGGACAAGGCGTGTTTTGCGATCCTGATTTGTGATGTCATCCAGGAACCAAGCCACTCTCCTGGAGCAATTAAAAACAGCGCAACGCGCCGCGGGCCAGGTTTGGGCTGCCCGTACGGGCCGTCCCCTGAAGCTTGTCTTGTCGTCGTTTTTTTGCCGTCTTGGCAGATCGGATTGCTCGCCAAGATGTTGAGATCGTCCCTCGTAGTGCTTGTCGGCCTGGCCACGGTCGGCCTCACGGCGCCCGCCCCGCCTGCGCCGACACCCGTCGCGACAGCGGCGCCAGCGAAGCGTGTCGCCAACGGCGTCGCGGCGCGCGCCCCGGAGCCCACGCCGCCGGCGCAGGGCGGCCTCACCCAGCGCGGCATAGGCGACGACGTCAAGAGCTACGTTGATGGGCTCATCAGTGACGTGGGCAGCAAGGTCTCGTCGTTTGTCAACTCGGGGATCCTCGACTTCCCCAACGGGTTCCCCACCGGGTCGCAGGTCGAGAAATCGGCGGGCGTGTCCAAGACGGACCTGGACGCGCAGCCGACGCAGGTGCTCAACCTCCCGTGAGTGTTCCGCCCGCCCGCTTCTGTCTCTCGACTCGCCCTGCATACATACATTCAACGTGCGAGGATGGGAGTCTAGGAAAGGGAAGAGACACGTCGCTGACGTCGCGGTTCGCTGCGTGATAACAGAGCCTATGCGAACTGGACCAACAAGGGCTGGAACGTCCGCGTCCACGGAAACGTCTACAAGGTCCCCAACATCACGCAGAAGAAGATTGACGACCTCGCCAACGTCTTCCTCATCGACACGAGCGTCGACAAGCTGTCGCCCTCGGAGCAGGACCAGGCGCGCAACCTGACGCGGTCCATCTTCGTCGTGCAGCAGGGCAGCGAGAATGTCACCATTGACTTTGTCAACGACGTGTCGGTGCGACCCAACGCGACGGGCGGCGCCGTCAATGCTGTACGGAAATGCCCTCCTTGCCCCATGACCTAGTGATGTTGAAGAGCACGTGAAAGCATTTTTGCCGCGTTACTGACACGGACACCAGGAAGGCGGCGCGCAAACCATTAAACTGCCGTACAAGACGACAGTGGAAGGCGACTTTGACGTCTTCCTCGAGCTTCGGAACACGACGGGGCCAAAGGGCGGCCACCTGATTCCCGGCAACGAAACGGCCCATATCCAGACGCTCAACATGTATGCCAACGGCACCAACAGCGGCAACGCGACGGCCTACCTCGTGCCGCCGACCGGCATGACCGTCATCTCGGACATTGATGACATCCTCCGTGTCACCAAGATCTACCAGCCCAAGGAGGGCCTGCTCAACACGTTTGCGCGGCCTTTCACGCCTTGGATGAACATGCCCGACGTCTACGCAAACTGGTCAGCGTCCATTGACAACATGCACTTCCACTACCTCACCACCACGCCCGAACAGGCGACGCGCAACTACATGGACTTCATCTATAAGACGTATCCGCTCGGATCTTTCGACACGCGGCCGCTCAACTTCTCCGACCTGTCGGCAACGCTGCAAATCCGGAGGTTCCTGCTCGACAAGATATTCCAGACGTTCCCCCAAAGGAAGTTCGTCTTGGTTGCCGACACTTCAAACAGCGACGTGATGAAGGCGTACCCTGCGCTCTACAAGGACTACCCAGGCCAGGTCCAGTGCATCTTGCTGCGCAACACGAGCTCGACGGACTCGGGCGACAAGTTCCCGTACGACACGTCAGGATTCAAGGACATTCCGCAGGAACGATACATGTTCTTCAAAGTACCCAACGACCTGAGCCGCCTTGATATTGCCAACGGGCATTGTCTAAACGGCACCATTCCGCAGAACGTGACGTTCAAGGAACAAGGCCTGCCCTTTGGGCTTGGTCAAGACAGCGGGGCGGCCCGGTATGGCTCGGCCCCGTCGATCTCTGTGATCGCAGCTGTGCTGGCCGCGGCCATTGGGGCAGCTTTGATGTGATGACATGTGGGATGGAGATGACGGAAGACGCCCGGCCGCAGAGTAAGCGGCGCGGCAAGTGGCGGGCGTGTGGTGTTGGATATCCTCGCGGACCTTTGCGTCTGTTGCTCCCTTGGTTTTCCTTCTTTGTTAGTCTGCTCCATGCACAGCCTCGCATAAGCTCGAGCGATGTGTCGGTTGCATGACCCGGATGGCATCTCCGGGGGCCGCTGCGCCAATTCAGCACCAGTGAGAGGGCGGTCTGCAGGCACGGTCAGAGGTAGTTGGCGACGGCGGGAGATCACAGGACGGGCCCTGGAGAGCGAGCCTCCCTGGGCGGAGGACGGGACCTCACCGGTCCTGCAAGAGACCAGCGTTAGCTTACATCAAAGTACCGCTACTTCCCAGTCCTAGCCGCTGCAGGCCAGAGCAGCTGCATGCGTCGCCGCCACGGCTCGTGAGATCGGACCTCGGAACAGCGCCGCGCTTTGCCATGCTGCTTCCGCCATTCCATGCTTCAGCTTGAGTTGCATCGGCCTCCGGATGCGCTATACAGGTACGTACACGCCACCCGGCAGCGGCCCATCCGAACGGGCAGGCAACGGCGTCCGGACAACTTTGGGCGTTGGTCGCGATCTGAACGTGTCAGCGAGCACCTCTACTATTCTGGAGTGACAGGGTTTGCGGCTGATGCGCCGTAGTCATGGATCCGATCACTTAGGCGACAGCCCAGGCACGAAGAGGCCCGCTCGTCGGTGTACCTGACGTTCCGGGCATCAACCTTGTATCACCAGCCTGGTCTCCATTCTTTGCGAGAAAGGCCGCTGTAAGTGGGCGTCGGCGGCCGCGCTTGGTGGTTTGTTACTGACCAAGGGGTCCGATTGATTTTGAGTCGATACCTGTAGCCTTGTGCCGAAAAGGGCGAAGTCGAGAGACAAACGCTCCTTGACGAACGCACTTGCTCACATATCCGGGCTCATACGTGTGTAAGCGGAATTGATGAAGAGGAAAGGGCTCTGAAGCCCGTCGCAGCACTTCGTCCGTGCCTCGGTCTTGTGCGTGTGCGAGTGGGAAAAGATGGCACTGGCGGACCCGCAGCGGCCGGGTTGGCCTACGTGAGCGTTAGTACTTTGTACTGCGTAGTCAAGGCAAGAGCAGGTCAACAACAGGAAAGAGCTTCTGGAAGTTTGCGAGGAAGGCACAGTGGACATCAGACCCATGCCGCACAATTTGGGTCAGGCAGGCACGGCAGGGATCGCATCTCCATGCGCTCGGTCCACTAACACGCCTCAGGTGTCCACCCCAGGTCGGCTGCGTGCCAGTGGTGGGCCTCCCGTCAAGCAACAACTCAAGTCGATGTCCGCTGCCAGTGACAAAAACATCGACAGGCAGAAACTCAATTCTATTCACATCGGCTCCCACCGCTACGCCCCCTTGCTGCGTCCCGGCAGTTCCTTCTCGCGCCGGAGCGCCAGCACGAGTCGTCATCTCTCTGGTGGGCTGCAGCTTCGCCCTGCAGCGGGTCAGGCAATTACTTACGTACCCGACATCCTAGGAATCTTCCATGGGCTCCCCCCAGACCGCCCATTCGGCTGGGTACGGAGTTGCCGGGGTGTCTTCGGGGCCCCATTGAGCATGCGTCCGCCGACGTTGCGACGTTGGGGCAATCTGATAACAGAGCTGCGCCTGACTCGTTCCGTATGCTCGTCGTTGGCAGTTGATGAGACAGCCGCGGCCTCGGCGAACGTCCTTGGGTTGCCCGTTGGACCGGGGGAGACGCCCTGCTGCAGCGCGAGCCTCGACGAGACCCTGGGCCTGCTGCCACGTCTGTCTGCGACCAGAAGAGCACAGGGTTTCTGAGCACACGGGCCACTTCTGCTCCAATTGCCTGGTTGTCCGTCCGCCGCCGTTGGCCGCGATGATGGTTTCAGACAGCTCGATCCAATCCTGCAGGCACAGACAGCGCGAATATGCATGAGATGGTCCATGGCAAATCCTTTTGAGGCCTTTGAGCCTTTGGAGCCTGCCGCGGCCTGTCCCAAGTACATACATTGGACAACACATTTGCTTCCCGCCGCGATACGCTTGCGTCTGATTCAAAGCAACAAAAGCAACAAGAGAATGCCTTCGACCTCCCAAGGCGACCTGGATGCACAACGCCCCGCTCAACCACGCTCAACGCTTGTGGAATTGCCTAGGAGCTTCTTCCCGTGAGCGAACAGGCCTTCTCGCCCTCACCGTGCGAAACGACGCCACACCCCGGGTTTGGTGTCACGTCGCCCTGCTTCTTTGGATCCGATGCCGGTGGACGGGGCTCTCTGTGTTACCTGCCCCAGGGTTCGATATGAGCCCACAGACCGGGGTTGGCGGTGCCATTCTCCAGTGGAATGTCTCGCACAGACTGTTGGATGGCTCGCTGTGAACAAGAAGGCGGTTTCCGAGGCGCATCTCGGCAAGTTCGGACATCGGAGCAACGGCAAAAAAGGCCCTTCCGTTTCCAGCTCATAGGACAGCCTCAAGTCCGTGACGACACCAGACCCGTAGAGTCCGGCATCGCACTCGTCACGGGCACCGCAGGCGGCGCTTTGTCGCGCAGGGTCCACGTCTCACCAGGCTCAGTCGGGGGAACCAATTCCATGACGACGTACTGTAGTACTCCGTCTCTGACGCGGGGCGCCACGATGTCTCTGGAGATGGTAGCCCACGCCGGCATCTTGGCCTGTTCGTTCTCCCTCCCGTCCGCCTACCATGACATTGTCAGCCATGATTCGGTGAGAGGGCATCCGTCGACGTACCAGGCACGATGCGCAGGGCGAGTTGGCCACCCACACCCAGTTTGGGCAATTGTGCGACATGAAGTACTTGCACCGGTACTTGTAAAAGCCGTTTCCGCCCATGATGTGTTGAGAAGCGGCGCCGGCTGCCTTTGCAGTGAGGAGTGCGACAGGCAAAAGGGTGGTGCGATCAACGAGTATTGTTGGTCACAGCCGTGATCTCAGGTGCGGCAGAACTGAAGCGCGGTGACCTGGTGGCCGGCGATCAGAGCAGAGAATGTTTGATCAAGAGCAACGAGGAAACAAGGAGCCAAGCTGGTATCGACAATAATGAACACTGCCTCAGTCTGGAGCCGTGGACACCGGACGGCGTCGTATTTATCTGGAAACCAGACCTCAGGGCATATGCCCGGTGTGAGGCTCCGAGTGGACTTGGAGATCGAGCCTGGGCCAGCGGGCACAGCACAAGTACAGGTTCTTTGGCCTTTGCATGGTACTTATCCACCTTGTCTGGATCATCAAGGTGCACACCCCGGCACTGTGACGCAACCCAGGTTGCGTGCGGTTGATGCCGTGGAACAGCTGCCCGAGGTGTTACGCGACATGACACCCCTTCCAGGAGCCCAAATCGGGGACCGCAGACTCTGCAAAGCGACTTTCCAGGAAGGGTAAAATGGCCAGATTCGAGGAACAGTTGGCTGCCAGGGATCAGCCCTGACTATTTCCCACGACGCGTTCATTTGGAAGAGCACTAAGACGACCCCCCTGTCACAATGCGGCCGAGGTGCAGCTTTCGCGCCGCAGCTTGCTCGGCCATGACACTGCCCTACCTGCCAGCTTACCATCCCGCCAGGGCTCCCGCCTTGTCAAAAACCTGCCTGCCAGGGCCCGCGCCTGGTGCGACGACGCACTTTTGGATCGCAGAAATTCGGACGCGGCAGGCCCTCGACCGGAGTGTTGGCCCGACGGCTCTGACACCAGCGTGGACCAACCGTCACGAGTGCCTCGAGGGGTCGGTCCGCCGTTATCAGCTGTTTTTGTGTGCAGCGGCATGTTCCTTTTTTAAATCCTGTACCCGCCGTTGCCCTCCGCGTAGGCCCCTGTCGCGGATTGCGTCCTCCAGGCAAGTTGTCGGCCAGTTGGCATGGCTGGCGTCCACAAAACATTCGCATTGACAGCGGCACCAACCAGGACCCCATGCGCGGTACGCATTGGTACGGTTCATTTCTCTTGAAAATTTTCGGACAGGGGACAAGGGAGGCTGATGAAGCACCACGCGAGAACCGCACCCAGTTGGATGGTTTGCGTGCATCTAGGCCTGCACATGGGGACGCCAAGTACACTGGGCTTTCCATCCATACATCCGGATGGTTCGGCGATAACACTTGTCAGGGCAGCATGCCATCATATCATCTGCAGAAAACGTGCTCAGGCAGCAAGGGGACAAGTGGACAAGAAGTCGCGACATGGCGCGACTAGCAGTGCACAGGGAGTTAGGCCCTCGGCATTTCGATTAGGCAGTCTGGTCTATCCCGCTGAGCACTGGGGACGTCGTCGACTGCGGATACTACTGGAGATGCCTCGCAGACCGACGGGAAAAGTCGTGGGATACCGAGCCCTTCCTCATCGCCTCCGTTCGTTGCGATTCGACCCTTGGTGAGGGTGTGCGAGTGGTTCGGATGCTTGATACCTCACAGGTGGACATGGGCCCATGCAGCCACGCCGCGGCGAGACACCCTGGCCATGTCTTGCCCAACAAACGCTGTCTGCGATCTGCCGGCGGACAGCCATCTACATTGCACCACTGGAGCTTGTGCTGCAGCACTGCCTCTAATAGGTCGCTGGCAACCCCTGTCCAGCGCAGGGCACGCCGTATTAACGAGCTATCTTCATCGGGGCCGCAATCCGCCTCGGACCTATTCTGCAGATAGGCTTGGCTACTCCCACAAAGTCGAGACGTCAACTACGTGTACATGGACACACAAGTTGGGACCGATGCGGCTCCTCTACCTGATTCGGGAGCTGGGTAGGCAGAACACGGTACGCCGAATGTGTATGTGGGCTCTGGACCGCTTGAATCTCGACTTTGGATTTCGCAATGGCTGGCAGTAAGGTGCAGTAGGTAAGTATCGGTGAAGCCGGCATCGACGCGTCTGCGGGCAGCGATAAGGACGAGGTGCGTCGTCACATGCCAGAGCTATGCCCTGCGGTTCGCCGTGAGATGGTGCCAAACGTCAAGGTCGAGCCTTATCATGCCCGCCTATGCCGTTGCCGCCGCCCGGTCGCGGGCCGAGCGCCAGAGCGTCCGAGCGAGAAAAGCTGCACGACAGCGATGGGCTGTAATGTCGTACAACCTTTGGTCAAGCTTGCAGCTCTAAACCCGGGTTGCCATTGGTACCTTTCTCGAGGCCCGGACATGGGGCGACGCTGAAAGCGACGCTTACGACGAGTCGAGATGGTCCGTTGTCCGAGAAGCTGAAACCGCATCGCGTTGTTTCATCGCGGCCAAGGACGGACACCACCACGACGAAATATATACGATGGCAATCTGCACGGACGAGATCGGCCCTGATCCCGGCTCCGTGAATGCTCAATCGTCGACCGGTAGCGGCGAACGCGGTGCCTGCTGGTGAGATGCAGCCGCGGCGTTGCGGTAACACGCCGAGCAGTGTCTTGGTCGTGCGGCGTCTCGGCTGCACAGGCACATAATTCACACTTCAGCACGACGACCGTCGCCACGGACGAGACGAGAAGACAGCGAGGAAACTGCTTCAGCACTGGCTAGCGCGCGGAAGCTAAGCCACCGGCTGACGAGCCGTCCCGCTGTCTCGTCGAACCAAGCTGCCAGCCACCAACCACTACTGCACTGATGTCGTTGCGCGCCTGATAACAGTTGGGGGCCGTGTCCAGCTCACCGTCGCCGATGCGGCACTCTTGTCTCTCTTGTCGACGTCCGCGCACGCACATCGAAGCACAGCATGCGCGTGTCTCGCGCCTAGAGGAGGGTCCGTTGGGCCCCCAGTCGCACAAGGTCCGAGCAGAGGTCATCGGCCGCCACGCCACGAGGGGGGGAACCTCCGAAGCGTCGATTCCCCTGCTGAGCTGCCGCGGTGGCTTGGCCGCCGTGTGCATGTCGCCGTGGGTGCCAGCTGCAAGAGCTCGAGTCGACGTCAGGCTGCCCGGAAGCACAGTCCACATCCTGCCCACGCAATGGCGTCGTATGCATATCGCAGGCGCACGGCATGCGACGTCGGACCCCACAGGGTGCGGGGAGACAGCATCCAGGGACCCCCCTTTTCCATTGCGACGTGCTTCTCACCCGCGCGCCCGGCTACCGGATATCGTGTAATTGGATCCCACGCTTCAACGAGACGCAGTCCTTCTCCTGTTGCCTGTAAGATCGTATGCCATGCGAGCCCGTCCGTCCGCGGGGTGCAGTCGTGCGACGCAGACATGTCCGTCAGCGCGAGCAAAAGACCCTGGCTCTGTGTCACAGCTGGCCGCGACCGTCGTCACGAAGCGCGGGCGAGCTGGCCGACTTGTCAGCCCTGACGATGCGGGCACGTAGCTTGCTAGCCCCCAGTATGTCCCGTCGCGAATGCTGTGCGACGATAGCCGAATACTATTCAACTCGCCACGTCTTTGCTCTAAGTGGTCGAAAAGCAACCGAACCGTCTACAACGCATAGCTATGCCTCTCTGTCCTCCTGAGCGCCAGCCGACTCATCATCTCTCCTCGCGAGGTTGCCGATGACTCCAACAAAACACAAACTCAAGCGTCCAGACCCAGGACGCCCGACCACACGAGAAAACAAGCACGGCGATTTTGCCCAGGCCAGTCACCGGCACGCCCTGTGCTTCCCCTGCCCCGAGATATGCGAAAAGAGACAACTGCGTCTCCTCGCGGCTCCCGATGCCGCACACGCTCGAGGGGAAGGGCGCACCACGTCGCGACCACGTCGCCTCGGCCGCACATCGCGTCAACAAATCACCGCCCCCCCTTCATGGCTTCCTTGCGCCTCTTCTTCTCCGCAGCGCGCTGGAGGGAGCGCTTCACTTCTCCCTGCTCAAACGTGTCCAGATCGTAGTAGACCGGCGCGATTTCCTGAAAGACGGCACGGTCAGCACAACACTTGCAGAAGGGAAGCAAACATCTTGGCGGAGTCGCGTACCAATAACCACTCTGGGCGAATTCCCGTGCAGGTGCGGACGTATTGCTTCGACGTCAGCACAAACTCGTTGTAAAGGACCCAGTCAAACTCGGTGCGCAGGACCGTCGACGGGTGGATCAGGACGGCCTGATCATCCTTGACGGTCCGGTACACCTTGCCCGAGCTCTCCTTCATTGCCACCTGCATGAAGAAGCCGCTCAATAGGGCCCGCCGGATGTTGGTGTAGTAGCTCTTGTCCTCGAACGGAGTCGAGATGAGCTCCAGCCCGTGCGTCTCCATGATACGCTTGAGCTGGGCCCGGACGCTGTCCGCGCTGGACAAATGCCGGAAGGAAAGGAAGTGCTCATGGCACCACTGCTTGAGGCGGCCCGCATCCGTGGTGCCCTGGCCCTTGAAGGCGTGGTAGGCGTTGAGAAGGGTCAGGTGGTCTCCGTCGGGATGGCTGAAGTGGGCCTTCATCTCGTCCGCCCTCTTGCGGTTGTTGGCAGGCCGGATCCAGATCTGAGGCACCGACAGCAGCGACGTGATTGAGAGAATCTCGTTGGAGCAATAGAACTCGGGCGACGAGATCAACATCACGGCCAGAGCGGGGTCCAGCGGGAACTCTGACGCCAGACTGCCTAGCGTCGTCAGCTCGCCCTCGTCGTCCAGGCAGGCGAGATAGTTGAGTTCCTCCAGCGCCCTCATCATGGTCTCGGGGGCTGGCGGGTCCATGAGATCAAAGTGAACGAGGTCCTCAACGCCGAGCTTCTTCAGCTCGAGGACCGTGTTGGCCAGATTGGACCGCAGAATCTCCGGGTAGGTCTGCTCGATGAGCTCCTTCTTGAAAGCGTGCTCAGTGTAGAGCCTGAAGCATTTTCCGGGCTTGGTACGACCAGCACGACCGGCGCGCTGCTGGGCCGAAGCCTTGGAGATTGGCGACACGAGCAGGGACTCTACGCGAATTCGCGGGTTGTAGATCTTCTGCTTGCTAAATCCGGGATCGACAACGTAGACGATACCGTCAATGGTCAAACTGGTTTCGGCAATGTTGGTCGAGACGATGATCTTGCGTCCCGGCCGGCCTCCCTTCCGCGCCGGACCAGGGGCAGGGTCGAAAATGCGTTGCTGCTGGTGCGGTGGCAGCGTGCCGTAGAGCGGATATACCGCAAGAGGACCGGCGTCGACCTCTCTCGTCAACTCGTCCGCCTCGAGACTAATCTTGCGGCATGCGTCTTCGATTTCGTCCTCTCCTGTCAGGAACAGGAGCACATCACCCTCGGGCTCAGAGGCATGGATTTGAAGAACGGTGCGGATAGCGGCCTCGACGTAGTCCTTCTCGGGTTCGGCGGTGTAGAAGATCTCGACAGGGTGCGTGCGACCAGGCACAGCGAGGAGCGGAGCGTCGTTAAAGTACTTTTGGAACTTTTGGGCGTCGAGGGTGGCGGACATGATGATGATCTTCAGGTCTGATCGTCGCATCGATATTTGCTTCAGCAGCGCCATGAGGATGTCGGTAGAAAGGGTCCTTTCGTGGGCTTCGTCGAGAATGATGCAGCTGTACCGAGACATTTCGTGGTCGTGCATGGCTTCGCGAAGCAGCATACCGTCCGTCATGTACTTGAGCATCGTCTTGGGACCCGTCATGTCCTCGAAACGAATGCTGTAACCGACCTCCTCGCCCAGGTTGACGTCCATCTCGTCGGCGACACGCTGCGCGACGGACATGGCGGCGACTCGACGGGGCTGGGTACAGGCAATGAGCTTGCCCGTCTGCTGGGGCAGCTCGTCGAAGACGACATATTGGGGGATCTGGGTCGTCTTTCCCGAACCAGTCTCACCGACGAAGACGAGGATCTGCGTCGAGTGGTACTTGTCGAGGAACTCTTGCCTGCGAGGTAGCCTGTGGTCAGCGATCACGGAGTGCGAGGCGAGTGCGTTGGCGGGGAGGGTCGGGTCTACCTCTGCTTGTGAACGGGGAGATCTCGCCGCGTTTCCAGGATCCGAAAGTACTGCTGTGAATGCGACCGTCCGGTGAAGGGATTGATGGCAGCGTCCTCGGCCTTTGAGGCCTCCGCGGCGGTCGTCTTGTGACGCCTCATGCCCGCGAGGGGGCCATAGCCGTTGGCCTGGTCGTCGTCGTCGTGCATGTGGGCGAGGTATGGGTTGACTCTGTCTGCGGCGGCGTCCACCTCGGTCGTCGTCTTCTTGGCCTTCTTGCGGGAAAACTCTTCCACGTCGGCGCTGGAGCGCTTCTCAGCCTTGGCGTGGTTGGAGGCCATTGCGCTCGCTCTGTCCGGCAGGAGAGGATGGGGCAGGAGCGGGTTGGAGTGGTGAGGATGGGATGGGGCGTACCTGGCTGGCAGGCGGGCAGTTGTGCTGCGAGGCCATCGGGGTTTGGCTTCCGAAAATTTTGGCGGGCCAGAGGGGCGCTGCCTATCGATAAGGACCCTGGAGGAGACAGTGCTAGATGCGGTCTCCCCACGGTATGCTCGTGGACGGTAAATGTGCCCAGATCGTCTGCAACAATATTGCGGGGCTGTCTGCAACTTGAATACTGCGTTCTAGGCAGGCCGTTATAATTTCAGAGATCGAATGTCGTAAGACTCAAATGCTATCTCAATTGACCTATTTGACGCCCTGCATCTTGTGAAGAGCCAGCTTTGATGGTCGCAGCATACCCCAGCCGCGTGCGGCGCACACTGTGCGTCTGGCGCAGAACCATGCTCACCGCGAAAATACCAGCGAGCTTCGACATCTGCACTGCGTGGCTCTGAGGCTCCGCCGACAAACTCTGTACAGCTTGTGGCGCTGTGAAGCGACTCTCGAGGACCTTCAGCATACCCAAAAGAACCGCTCACCTCTGTTTCTGAGCGATTCCCGCAAAGATTGCGGTTGTTTGCAAGCAAGGGCACGAGAGATACCTGTTTGGTAACACGACCCAAACCATGACGTTTGAAGGAACGGGGCTGGGCATGCCTGAAGGTTATGGACCTCAGCAGCCGGCTTTCCACATTGGAAAACACGATTCGGCCCGGGATGTGCCTCTAACGGATCTCCAATACGGTTACTTGCTCAACCAGGGGGTGAGAGAGGACTCTGCGTGTCCCATTCTCACGGCGAGCAGGCTGGCTGACGACACTCACAACCGCAGATCAGCTTCGCGACGTCTCCCATCACCAACAACCACTTCAAGAAGAGGGTCTTCAAGCTCGTCGCGGACCACCTCGCCCTGCTGAGCAAGAATGGCGAGTCGGGCACCAGCACCGTCACGGCCTCGCGGGCGGAACCCATCCTGCCGCCTCTGACCCCCGAGGACACCTCGCTGTTCCCTTCTGCCGCGGTCAATACGTACACGGCGTGCATCAGCCCATGGATTGACTTGTGCTCCACGGACCCTATCGTGTCCAGCATCTCGCGCCAGGTGCTGAACCTGGAGATCAACTATGCCAACTTTTGCGGCGTGCGGAGCATCATGCTCACTGGGCCCGCGCGGGATGCCTCCAAGGACGGAGGGAACCAGGGCTTGGCTCAGTACTCGCGGGCTGTCCAGGAAGCTCTTAAGATTGGAAACACTTTGGCCTTCCTGGTTCACATGCCAATGTACAGAGAGCCCGTGGTGGGCCAGGAGAACGAGACGCTCTCCTCGCTTTGCCCGCAAGCAAGCGCAAGTGCCTCTGCCACAAAGAGCATAGACCTCTTCAGTGCGTGGGACTCGTGGCACCATATTCGGTCGGTGTGCAATTACAGTCTCAGGCTCTTTGTCGGTATGCTTGCGAACCCATGTTCTCATTCGTACTCAACTGACGCGCTTGTTCAGCGCTCAAGCTGCCCAAGGTCATGCCGGAAAAGGACCTGCAAAACAGATGGTTCGCAGAGCCCTTGCAGTATCTGACCATCGGGCCCGAGGTGTTCCAGACGAACAAGGGCGGTTACCCCTGCTTGTCGAAACATCACCAGGACCTCATCTTCACGTATATGCGGCTGAAGGCATTCCCCTGGCTTCTGCTCTGCGACGTCGGCCCGGATGCGTCCCAGTTCAAGCCCAGCTCGTCTTCTCTGCTGGCGCAGAAACCGCCAGTCACGGACGAGGACTTCCCAAGCCTGTCCGCCGCGCACTCTCCGGCAAACACCGCCCAGTCTCAAGCACCCCGAGGCAATGCCCACATGGCGTATCTGCAGTGGCTCGAGTCGCAGCAGCCGGTGTTCACCGCTCTTGAGTCCACGACCCTGACAAGCTTCCAAGACTGGCTGCAGTCGCCGCTACAGCCGTTGTCGGACAACCTCGAGTCCGCCACCTATGAGGTATTCGAGGGCGACCCCGTCAAGTACGACCAGTATGAGGCAGCAGTTGTCGAGGCTTTGACGGAATGGAAGGCTCTCGGGCTGCCGACATCCAAGCCTGGCGTTGTGGTCATTGCAGTGGCCGGCTCGGGCCGTGGCCCTCTTGTCACGCGCGCGCTCAAGGCGGCAGAGTTTACCGGTGTTCCGGTTGAGGTGTGGGCGGTCGAGAAGAACCCCAACGCCTACGTCTATCTGCTGAGGCAGAATCAGACCGTCTGGGGCGGCAAGGTGAACGTGATCAAGACGGACATGCGCGCCTGGAAGGGCCCGGTCGTGTCGGAATCGGCAGAGACAGGGCCAGTGCACGGCAAGGTGGACATTCTCATCTCGGAACTTCTCGGTTCCTTTGGAGACAACGAGCTGTCCCCCGAGTGCCTGGACGGCATCCAACATGTCGTTGCGAAGCCTCACGGAATCTCGATCCCCAGCTCGTACACGGCGCACTTCAGCCCCATTTCTACGCCCAAGCTGTATGCGGATATCCTGGCGAGGTCCGCCACGGAGGACACGGCGTTTGACACACCCTGGGTGGTGAGACTGTACGCGCTGGATTTCGTCTGCCAACGAGTGCCCGGACACCCCCGCTTCCAGCAGGCGTGGGAGTTCTCTCATCCGATACCAGAGTCTACGCTCGCGGCCGTGCAGGCACGTCGCTCAGGAGGCGTTGTTGGCGGTGGCGGCGGAAGCATGGCCGGCGCGGCCGGTGCGAATGACCACAACTCGCGGTACTGCCACGTTACGTTTGTATGCCGCGCGCGGGGTGTCATCCACGGATTGGCAGGCTACTTTGAGTCTACACTGTACGAGTCGAGGCTGGACGAGCATAAGGGCGAGAAGGTGGAAATTAGCACGCACCCGGAGCGCATCGACGCCAAGAGCAAGGACATGATCTCATGGTTCCCCATCTTCTTTCCTCTCAAGGTGAGTCGAGACGTTGGCGTTGGCGTTGGCGTGGTGAATTTTAAGCTAACACGGTGCCTAGAAACCGATTACTTTCCCGGCGGACACGGAGCTCGAGGTGAGCATGTGGAGGCAGACAGACGACAGCAAAGTGTGGTACGAGTGGCTTGTGGAAGCGTGGACGTGGGTTGGGCCCACGACGAGAATCAAGGTAGGGTCGTCGGACCTGTGCAGCAGTCGCAATGTCGCATGCTTGATGTAGGGCGTCGGAAGAATTAGATGGCAAGCGGCATGGCAGGCGAGCTTGGTCCGGGATCGGACGTGTCTTGGAGAAATCGACGGCTGAACAAGACGGGATGACGAGGAGGAAGTTTGCGGGCGGCGCAGCATGACACCACAGCAGCAGCGGCGGCGCAATGTGCGTAACGAGTCGTACAGACACCAGGCAAATTCCCGTATGATATTCGTCGTGATGCGCTTCCTGGAGGATGGATGAACTGACGGATGGATGGTGCTACGCCCTCCCGGAGCCGAGTCGGAGGCGTCTGCACAGGCAGGCCGGCCGGGCCCGGAAAACGCCGGCTGCCCTGGCGGATTGGCATGTGGAAGGCGCCGGCGCGGCGGAAAACGGCGGGCGCCAACAGGGGGCTTCGGCAGGGTCGGCGCCCCTCGCGCGCACGGCCTGGGCGCTGTAGAACCCCCCGGGCAGCGCTGGAGAAGCAGAGAATCGGGGCGCACGCTCCGTTGACGGAGGAGCTCGGGCTGCCTTTTAGTCTCCCATACGTAACCGCCGGTGCTTGATTGGCGACTCTGGGCTCGTCGACAGCTTCCGCTCCCACCATCTTCGAGCTGCTGTCGAGACTGTGGTGCAAGGGACAGCACTGCATTCGCGAGCTGGCGCGCCGCAAGGACGATCAACTCGCAAGTACCGCTCGCCCGCGACCTGCTAGCACGGCGCGTCGCATCCGCACCAACAGCGCAAACCCCCTCTGCCCGTCCGGTACTTTGCCTCGGACCGTCGCCCCTTCCACCTCCCCATTGGCATTGGCGAGAACCACCCCGCGGTGGGGATGCTTCCGTCACGGGTAGCCGGCGCCATGCGGCTCGTCTCAGGCCCGCGGCCAGCAGCTGTTGTCCGATCGGCCCTCGGGGGGCTGCCCCGCCAGCAGCGCCCGTCGTCCTATGTCTACCCCTCCATCGCGAGCTCCAGGCCACTTTCCTCCAACTTACATCCTCCTCGACAACACCCCCCTTCACACCCGACAGCAAGATACCACCAGTCTGCGCAGCACCGCCGGCCGTCTTCCACAATGTCTTCCCAACCCGCACACCCGACGCTGCTCATCCCGGGGCCCATCGAATTTGACGATGCCGTCCTCCAGTCCATGGGCCACTACAGGTGCGTTGCGAGTGCACTGGCTGCTCCCATACTTCACAGCGTGCTGACTGGGGATTCACAGCGAGAGCCACGTCGCTGCCGGCTTCGTCGCCACCTTTGGCGAGACCCTCACCCTGCTGCGCCAGCTCTTCCAGACGACCAACCCCGCGTCGCAGCCCTTCGTCATCAACGGCTCGGGCACCCTCGGCTGGGACCTCGTCGCCGTCAACCTCGTCGAGCCCGGTGAGGATGCCCTTGTCCTGAGCACCGGCTACTTTGGCGACGGCTTCGCCGACTGCCTGCGCGCCTACGGCGCCAACGTCACCAAGCTCGACGGGCCCATTGGCGGGCGGCCTCAGGTCGCGGACGTCGAGAAGGCCCTCAAGGAGAAGAAGTACAAGATCCTCACCGTGACGCACGTCGACACCTCCACCGGTGTCCTGAGCGACATCAAGAGCATCGCCGCTGCCGTCAAGAAGGTGTCCCCTGAGACCCTCGTCATCGTCGATGGCGTCTGCAGTGTCGCCTGCGAGGAGCTTGCCTTTGACGAATGGGGTCTTGACGGCGTCGTCACGGCTGGCCAGAAGGCCATTGGCTGCCCTGCCGGCCAGTCCATCTCCATGTTCAGCGGCCGCGCCATCCAGGTGGTCCAGAACCGCAAGACGGAGCCCGCTACCTACTTTGCGTCGATGAAGCGGTGGTTGCCGAGTAAGTACACACCTGAGCTCACTGTCCTGTTTGCATAACAAACGCAGGATTGACGTCCCAATCCACAGTCATGCAAAACTACGAGGCCAAGAAGCCTTCCTACTTCGCCACGCCTTCGCCCCAGCTCGTCCACGCCCTCAACACGGCCCTCAAGCAGATCCTGTCCAAGCCCCTGTCCGAGCGCTTCAGCAAGCACATCGAGGTCTCGGACCGGGTCAAGAAGACCGTCACGGACATGGGCCTCAAGATAGTCGCGACTAAGCCTGAGGATCAGTCCCACGCCATGACGGCCATCTACCTGCCCGAGGGCGTCGCCATCCCGGACGTCCTGCCCAAGCTCCTCAGTAAGGGCATCATCTTTGCCGGCGGCATCCACAAGGAGATTGGCACAAAGTACATCCGGTTCGGCCACATGGGCATCACGGCAGTGAGTCTCGCATCCATTTGCGTGAAAGAGCATCCGCTAACCCGTTCGCTCAGGTCGACCCCCGCCGCAACGATGTCGACAAGGCCCTCGAGGCTCTCAAGACCGCCCTGGGCGAGTGCGGCTACAAGGCATAGAGAAGCGGGGAGCTTGCAGAGGAGTGTACATAGATGTTGGATACCTACTACGTCAACGAGACTCTTAGAGCCCGCGCTATAATGCCGCCCCGCGAAGAGGCAGTTTGCCCGCGTCTTTTGTGCGCCAATGGTGAGGAGTTGTGAGCTACTATCGCATCTGCAGCAAGGCCAGCAAGGGCTGGCTGCCTGGACGAGATATAAAAGCGTCTCAATGCAGGGAGCATGTCCCACATCCGTACGAATAAAGTACAGTCCGTGGTCGCGGAAATGTGCAATAATAGCTGTGTGTGCCTGGCTGTGCCCGTCATGTCCGACAGGCATGCGACCTACGTCACCGCGGCGCCGGACTTTAGTCCGGGCGATAAGGAACCAACGTCAACCGCTGTGTCCCACACTGCGGGCTTTCTAGGTGTGTGTCGGGTGCTCGCCGCCCTCTTGGGTGCCGCCACAAGTCCCGAGACAACCAGCGGTGGAGGAGGTACTGGGTACGGCGTGGCGCGTGGCCTGATGCCGGGCTCTCCCCGCCTCTGCCAGGTGTTTGGGCTGACAAACCACAGCAACGCAGGTACACTGTACTCGGCGAGCGAGGCGTCGTTCAGGCACCTCAAGCAGCGCCTCCGAAGCACAGCAGCCGAACGGCAGCAGCACTGCAGCAGCTATTTTGTGGCTGGGCATCCATTGCTGGGCAGGGCAGGGTAGCAAGGGCAGGTGCTGATGCTGGTGCCGGTGCTGGTGTGAGCACCGAGGAATGGCAAGCAAACCTGGAAGGCACCCAACGGTAGAGACGAGCAGCAAGAGCTCCCCCCCGCCACCCCGCTGAGGGGCCTGCGCCACAACTGCCCGCCTTGCCCGCCTCGCTGTTGCCGCGCGACACACACGCTGGCTCGGTCGGTGACGACGGCCCCGGTTCCCGCCTGGCAGCACCAGCAACGGCGGCAGCTTGGAGCCCACCTACCTCACCCCCAGGCGGAGCCGTGCTGTGCTGTGCTGTGCTGCCTTCTGTGGTGCTTCAACACCCGCCCGCCGCGCGCGATCCATCCCTCCGCCTGCAGCATAACCCGGCCGGACCTCTTTTTTTCCTCTTCACACCTGGTCCTCCCCCCCACCCCATCGTCGCCAGCGCTCCCGCCGTCTCCGTTGCACCCTCGCGTGAAGCAACTCTTTTCTTCCCCTCTCCCACTCTTTCCTCGCACGCAGAGGCAGGAAAAAGGCTTGACGACGCGACCTCCGGCCTTTTTTTGTTCGTCTTTTTGCGTGCGCTGCGTCCCGGCTCTTGCGCCCCTCTCTCCTCACCACCACCACCACCACCACCCCTCCGCTTCGTCTGCCGCCTCTTTGGACGTTCCCCGCCCCGGGCTGCTCAACTCCTCTCGCCGCCTCGCACTCGCCTCGCGCGTCCCGACCACGATGCCCGTCTCGATCGAGGAGCTCGACAGCACGGTCCGCACCTTTTACGAGGGTCGCGGGGACCAGGTTCGTTCCCCGCTCGTCCGATCTCCCAATTTCGAAGCGAACGTGGTGCTAATGCCTGTCTCAACAGCAAAAAGCCGCCCAGGCCGCCTTGAACCAGGTAAACGCTTTCCCCGACCGCACACAACCCCTGCCGCTCGTCGACGCCATAGCAAGCGACGACGGCGCTCAAACCAGAGCTCCCAACGCCTCTCGCTGTCCGCAGTATGCTAACGAGTAGCACAGTTCAAGGAAGACCCCGATGCGTGGCTCATGGTAGACAAGATTCTATCAGACGCGCAGTATCCGCAAACCAAATGTACGTCGGTTTGCACTACGCGCCACTCGCCCCCGCCCCTCCCGTTGAGCACGCACAGAGCTAACACATCCACAGACTTGGGCCTACAGGTTCTCGACAATGTCATCTCGACGAGATGGAAGGTCCTGCCGCGGGACCAGTGCCAAGGTGAGTGCTGCACGCGAGCCCTCGATGGAACATGAGCACTGACGACGGCTTGGATCAGGCATCCGAAACTTCATTGTCCAGTTCATCATCCAGAGCTCGAGCTCCGAGGAGGCCCTGCAAAGCAACAAGACTCTTCTCAACAAGCTCAACCTCGTCCTTATCTCCGTCCTCAAGCAAGAATGGCCGCACAACTGGCCCACATTCATTAACGAGATCATCTCGTCCTGCCATGCGAACCTTTCGATCTGCGAGAACAACATGATCATTCTGCGTTTGCTCTCGGAGGAGGTGTTTGACTACTCTGCCGAGCAGATGACGTCCACGAAGACGAGGAACATGAAGCAGACCATGTGTGCCGAGTTTTCGCAAATCTTCCAGCTCTGCCAGGAGGTCCTCACGACGGCCGACCAGCCCAGCCTCGTCAAGGCGACGCTCGAGACCCTTCTTCGCTTCTGCAACTGGATCCCCCTCGGTTACATCTTCGAGACGAACCTGATCGACACGCTCCGCACCCGCTTCCTGTCGGTCCCCGAGTTTCGCAACATCACGTTGCAGTGTCTGACGGAGATTGGCGGACTGCAAACTGGTGGCGCCGGGCAGGCCAACTCATACGATGAGCAGCTCGTCAAGATGTTCACCGAGGTTCTCACGACCATTGCGGACATTATCCCCGTATCGCTGGATCTGAAGTCGACTTATCCCAGCAGTAACTCCCGGGACCAGGAATTCGTCCAGAACCTGGCGCTTTTCCTTTGCAACTTTTTCGGCGCGCACCTCAATGTGAGTACTACAGACTATCCCCTTGGTGCCAAGGCGAGTGACCATGCTAACAAGGCACAGCTGATCGAGAATCTGCCGAATCGAGACTACCTGCTCCACGGTCACTACTATCTGATCCGGATATCACAGATCGACGATCGCGAGATTTTCAAGATTTGCCTCGACTACTGGCTGAAGCTGGTCCAGGAGCTTTACGAGGAAATGCAGCAGCTGCCCATTACCGACTTGAACCCGCTCATGGCCGTCGGCGGTGGCATGTCGGGTAGTGGCGCGCCGAACCCTTCGCTCCTGATGAACTATCCGCTACGGAAGCACAAGTACAACGAGGTCCTCTCAAACCTTCGTGTCGTTATGATCGAGCGCATGGTCCGACCCGAGGAAGTGCTGATCGTCGAAAACGATGAGGGAGAAATCGTGCGCGAGTTTGTCAAGGAGAGCGACACCGTCCAGCTGTACAAGACCATCAGGGAATGCCTCGTCTACCTCACTCATTTGGATGTGGTCGACACCGAGAACATCATGACGGAGAAGCTTGCCAGGCAGGTTGACGGCTCGGAGTGGTCATGGCACAACTGCAACGTGCTCTGCTGGGCCATTGGCTCCATCTCGCTGGCCATGAACGAGGAAACAGAAAAGCGCTTCCTCGTCACAGTTATCAAGGACCTCCTCGGACTTACGGAGATGAAGCGAGGCAAAGACAACAAAGCTGTCGTGGCCAGTAACATCATGTACATTGTCGGCCAGTACCCTCGCTTCCTCAAGGCCCATTGGAAGTTCCTCAAGACTGTCGTCAACAAGCTGTTTGAGTTTATGCACGAGTCGCACGAAGGTATGTACTCCCCGAGAGAGTCCTGAAGGCCACGAATCTAACCCATCTCATAGGTGTTCAGGACATGGCTTGCGATACATTCATCAAGATTGCTCGGCAATGTCGGCGCCATTTCGTGGCACTGCAGCCTAGCGAGCAGGAGCCGTTTATCGAAGAGATTGTGCGCAACATGGGCAAGATTACCTGTGATCTTACGCCCCAGCAGGTCCACACGTTCTACGAAGCCTGCGGCTACATGGTCGCAGCTCAGGGCAACAAACACCAGCAGGAGAGACTGCTTGCCGACCTGATGAATATCCCGAACGCCGCCTGGGACGAGATCATCAAGCAGGCCACGGTCAACCCGTCGATCCTGCAGGACGCTGAGACGATCAAGGTCATTGGCAACATCATGAAGACTAACGTGTCTGCATGCACGTCGATTGGACCTTATTTCTACCCTCAGATCGGTCGCATCTACCACGACATGCTTCAGATGTACCGCGCCACCAGCACACTGATTTCTGAGGCTGTCGCCCGAGACGGTGAGTGTCCTCCTGGATCAGTCCCTTATACTAGGCTAACCAAAACAACAGGTGAACTCGCGACCAAGATGCCCAAGGTCCGCGGCTTGCGCACCATCAAGAAGGAGATCCTGAAGCTCATCGAGACGTACGTTGAGAAGGCCGAGGATCTCCAGGCCGTGCGACTCCAGATGGTTCCCCCGCTGTTGGACTCCGTTCTGGTCGACTATAACCGAAATGTACCAGGTGCCCGTGACGCAGAGGTCTTGAAGGCCATGTCCACGATTATCACCAAGCTCTCTGTAAAGTTTTACCGTTGGCAGGAGGAACCGATCTCAAGCGCTAACTGCCACCAGTCTCTCATGGAGGACCAGGTCCCTACCATCATGGAGAATGTGTTCGAGTGCACCCTCGACATGATCAACAAGGACTTTTCCGAATTCCCCGAACACCGAGTCGAGTTCTTTAACCTGTTGCGGGCCATTAACCTGCACTGCTTCCCAGGTATGCACCTCCGTTGCTGAGACACGAGCTCGATTGCTAATATAATTGTAGCCCTGTTGAAGCTCGACAACAACCAGTTCAAGTTCGTCATCGATTCCTGCTCGTGGGCATTCAAGCATGACAACCGAGACGTCGAGGCGGCAGGCCTCAACATGTGCCTGGAGCTCATCAACAACATTGCCGACAAGACGGACGTTGCCACAGCCAACGCATTCTTCCAGCGCTTCTTCACCACAATCTTGCAGGATGTGCTGTTCGTGGTCACGGATAGCGACCACAAAGCTGGGTTCAAGACTCAGTCGATGCTGCTGATGAAGCTGTTCTACTTCATCCAGCCGGCGGACGGGTCGCAGCCCAAGATCCAGGGCCCCATCTACACTCCCGATCAGGCGCAGGCGGGAACCACCAACAAGGACTTCTTGGGCAACTCGGTCGCGACCCTGCTTCGCAACGCGTTCCCCAACTTGCAAGCGTAAGTTCTTTTCTAGTGAAGCTGCAGATTGTAGGGTCCTGGCTAACGTGCACGGATTAGGGCGCAAGTTGCGAGCTTCGTAGAGGGACTCTTCAACCTCAACACGCAATACGACAAGTTCCGACTGAACCTCCGGGACTTCCTCATCTCCCTCAAGGAGTTTGCCGGCGACAACGCGGAGCTTTACATTGTCGAGAAGGAGCAGCAGGAGCGAGATGCCAAGGCTGCCGACATGGAGAGGCGGCAGAAGGTTGGTGGTCTGCTCAAGCCGTCTGAGATTGACGATGAGGAGTTGTGAATCCGCCAGGAGCTCAGGACCGAGTTCGCGCCGCGCCTGGAGAGGAAAGAGTCGCTCGAAGCAGAGCACATCAGCAGCCGGGACTGGGTCGGAGACGGCTGGGAGTTTTACGGAGTGTAAACGTTGCCCTCGTGGCCCAGCACCGAGGCCCTCCCTCGAGACGCGGCAGGCCTCGGGCCAGCCATTTTTTTCTTTATTGTTTCCCGTAATGATACCAAGATTAGATCAGTCGCCGCTTGTGGCAGCTTCGACGGGAACGAAGGCACAGGCGGGTCGTCGACACCGCAGAATCGAGAAGGAAAAGCATCTCCTTTTGCGTTTGGTGATATCCTGCCTGGGCACTGACCGAGACATCATTGATGGAGAAGGGGGAGTTTTTGAGGGTCAAGGAGTTGGCAGCGAGACAAGCCATTCGTTTGGCCGGAGGTGAGGCCAGGCCGCAGGTTGGAACCAAAAAAGGGGGGAAGGGACGTGCGAAGGCGTGTGAGGGTTTGGCAACGAAGCCCTGACGATGTAGATGCCTGGGGTGTTGGGTTGTCTATGATAGACGAAGATTGCTGTCTAGCACTATGAGACTAAGAATTCTTGGATGATATGGCGGACCCTGTGCCGTGTGGCGTTGCTGCGGCGCGAGTGGCCAGCAGTTTGAGTGTATTTCGAGTATATACGAGTACGTCTTCGTGCCATGTCTATCCCTATTGTTACATTTTGGCGGCGTACCGCCCGGTAGGTCTTTTGCATCTGACAGAAACCCTTCTGGGGACCAGGCCAGCTGCTAGCTTCACGTCACCTGTCGGTCTCGAGCTGCTGGAGCGGCCAGGTCATGGCGTCGCGCCAGTATGTGCCCAGGTGTCTCGAGATGGCGCCTATCATGCGGGCGCCGGCGTCGCGGTAGAGCCAGAGGTGGCGATGGCGGTGCAGCAGGACACCGTAGTGGGCGAGGATGACGAGCGCTTCTGGCTGGAGGCGCCGCAGGACGTCGACGTACTCTGCGCAGACGGTCACGGAGAAGGCAGACGCGGCGGCGGAGCCCGCGTCGGCGTCCGTGTCGGAGTAGAGGTCAAAGGCCCACTGGAGGCGCTCGACGGCGTCTCGGCAGGCGCGGTCGGTGGCGGAGCCCAGGTCCGAGGCGTCGAGCAGGGCGAGGAGGTGTGCGCACTCGCCGCCGGCGTCGTCGTGCTCGCGGCGGCGGATGATGCGCTCGTTGGCGTGCTGGGTGACGTTGAGGAGGGGCTCGAGCTCCGAGTTTATGAGGTCGTTCCAGGCGGGCTTGATGACGGTGCGGATGCCGCGGTGCAGGCCCAAGCAGTCGGCGAGCTTGTGGATGAAGACGTGGAAGTCGGACGACTGGAGGTGGCGGACCGTCTCGAGCGTCTCGGCGAGGTTGTGCAGGCTGAGCACGGCGGCGAAAAGGAACCGCGGGATGGCGCTCTCGGCGTCGTTGAGGTCCACGGAGAGGGAATGCCGCGTGAAGCTGGCGAGGGCCCTGGTCTGGAGTTCCGTAGACTGGTTGCGCAGCGAGGCGATGTACGTAGGTGAAGGCGGGTGGTAGTTGCTGTTGTTGTTGGGGTGATCGCCGGGCGATGAACCGTTGCTGCTGTCATCGGCAAGCGTGGCTGCGAGGTGCAGCGCCGAGAGGGCGAGGACCTCGTCGAGGAGGAAGGGGGCGTCGACGGCACGGCGGACTGCGATGTCGAGGATGCGCCCCGTGTGCGGGTGGGCCATGACGCCGTGGCCCATGGCGGTGCCGGCATGGTGCAGGAAGCGGAGGTGCTGGACCGTGAACAGCGGCCGGTCATGGCCGTGGGATTCGAGCGGGTCGTCGCCGCGCTCAAGCAGCGACGGGCCAGGCAGCGCCGTCGTCTCTTCGTGGGATGATGGAGCGCGCAATGGGGGCTCCGAGGGGGCGGCGCTCCGGCTCTGCGAGCGACGAAGCGATGCCACGTCGGCCTCGTCAGTCGGCTGATGTCGTTGTGACACCCGTTGCTGTTGCCGATCGCGCTGCTGTCTGAGGGCCTCGATAGGGCTGTCCACATCCATCGACGGCGTGCTGGGATCCAACGACGACGACGCCGCCGCCGCCGCGGCCTCGTTGCGCAGCCTCTGCGCCTCCCTCCTCATGGTGCGGGCCGACTTCTTCTTGGGCGGCGGCCACTCGCACCTCCGGGCCGCCTTCTCGCAGTTGAGACAGTCCGGGCGCGACTCGTCGCAGCGGATGTGGCGCTTCTTGCACTCGACGCAGCCGTCGCGCGACTTGCGGTGCGAGCGGCGGCGCGAGGATGCTGCGGCGGCGACGGATGACGATGCCTCTGTGCCGCCGCCGGAGCTGAGGACGTCGGCGTCATCGTCGTTGAGCTGCCCCGCGCTGCTCATGGTGAGTGTGTACTGACGTTATGTAGTACAAGGCAGATATATGAGAGAGGCGATGCGCGCCGCCGCCGGACGGACGGATGTCCTCGACTTTGATGCCTGCCCTGGCGTTACGAGGAGTTCATGTCATGAGGCCGTGTCGTGGGGTGGATGGTGGTGGTTTCGGCTTATATCTGCTGCCCCTGAGGGCGATTGCCATTGAGGGAAGGTTGCGACTGCCGTGCCAATGGGCTGTGTCGCCTTGTGAGGCTTTGACTCGGGAAGTGACGCGTCGAGACCAGGGGTGGGTTGATAAAACGACGGGAGGGCTGAGCTGTGACCGATAGGCTTGTACATATGTCGAAAGGCGAGTTACGAAGTTTGCACGTGGCTTGCGTCAAGGTTCAGGGCCCATCATCGTCAAGGAGGAGGTGGAGGAGGTGGCGCCCCGAAAGTCTTCAACGGAAGAAGAGAGGAAGGAAGGAAGGGCGCTAGCAACTGCCTAGCCTCGACCGTCCCAAATAGGCAAGAAACGAGCGGGATTTCCCCATTCTCGCCGTGTAATACTCCTCTTCCTCTGATAACACGCTCTATTCCAGCATCGTCGAAAAAAAACAGACGCAAAATGCTCCAGTCTATATCTATACAGTCCTCCCTCAATGGTTCCCCATCTCGCCCATTTATAATTATACCATGGTTTCCACGACGCAGCGTAAACGCCTCAATTCGAAATCAGGCCACCCCACCCAGCACGCGGGGCGGCGTCCCCCTCGACGAGAGCCTCATCAGTAGAGCTCCCCCCGACATCGTCAACTACTTCCTTCCGGCCTCGGCAGCGCGCAATCTGTCGCCGCTGCCGTACCTCATCTCCTCGCCCACGCCGGCCGACGCCGCCGAGTCGACGGGCTCCCAGGGCCGCGGCTTGGTGGCGGCGGCGGCGCTCAGGCCGCCCGGGTAGATCCACGCGTAGACGACCATGACGGCGAGCATGAGCACGGCGTCGAAGACGTAGAGCGTCCACTCGTGGCCCAGCAGGTACCCGTCCTTGCCCGTGGCGTACTCGATGACGCGGAAGATGCTGCGCACCATGATGAGCGCGCTGGCCGCGTAGAGCATCCACACGATGCGCTTCCACGCCGAACCCCCGTCCTCGGCCATGGACGCACCGCTCGGCCACCGCCGCATCCGCACGTCAAACACAATGGCCGTCACGGCGAACAGCCCAAACATGACAATCTGGATGAAGAGCCCCGCCAGGATGATGTTCTGCGCCGTGTCCTGGCTGAAGTCGCTCTTGGCCATGAGCCCCGCGCCGCTGGCCTGCACCATGAAGGAGAAGACGTCGCCCGCGACGAAGGCCTTGGTGAGCCACCGCACGGGGATGAGCGAGTGCCGCTCCCCGTGGATGCTGACCATCAGCCGCCCCAGCACCATGTAGATCGACGCCGCGAAGAGGGCCGGCGCGACGAGCAGCAGCACGCTCTGCACGATGAACGGGCCGAGCTGCTCCGTCTTGTCTTCGGCGACGGCGCGTGCGGCGTATCCGATGATCTCGACTGCCGGATTCGTAACAGGTTCTGCGTGTCAGCTTCTTTCGCGTTGCTCTGCTAGAAGATTGCTGGTCGGTTGTTAAAAGGAGGCAATGGTGGGTGTTGGGACTTACACAGCCCGCCGATGGTAAAGGCGATGCTAAACAGCGTCTTGGTCCGGACCATGCGCCATATGACGGCCCCCGTCGCAATGATGAAGAGGATGGTGAAGAGAATGGCCGCCGCCTTGGAGGGGACATATTCCCAGAGGTAGTAGTCCCCGCGAAAGGGCTTCAGCTGGGCCATGATGCTGCAGCGACTGCCCACGGGGCACAGCACAACAGCGAAGAAGAGACTGGAGAAGAAAACAAAACTGCCGGGCCGGATCTAGAATCTAACTTAGATTTATAACTCGGCTCGAGATGAAAGATGCGTCCACCCGTTGAACCCCGGCCTGGCACTTGGCGTCGCCGAGCTTCTTATAACACTCGTTGCCGCTCGCCGGCCCCAGGTTCCCCCCCCTCGGCCTGACCCGCCCACACACGCACAACCTGCGTGAGACGCGGCAGCTGCCAAAATACGAAGGACCTGTCGAGCCTTGCGCACTCGCTCGCACGCAAAGATTCGTCTCCTCGTAATCTGGCCGGTGCGTATTTTGGCCAGGCGGGTCCCCGCTGGCGGCGGGACGGCGCCGTTGACGCTTGCTAGCGGCCCACTAGGCCAGGCAAAACGGCTGCGCCACCCAGTCGAGCCCTTGCTTCAAAGCCCAATTGCTGCTACTGTTGTCGTGCCCTCTCATTCCCATCGGAAACACAACCGCCTTGACTTGCTTGCTTGCCTGCCTGCCTGCCTGCCCCCCTGCGCATTGCGCATGCAAAACTCAAAAGGACACAAGGGCTGACACGAGCAACCGCGCACCATTGCTGCGGCAGAGCAACCTCGCAAAATGGCCAGTCGCGTATATCGCGTTCTTCTTGCTGCTGCTGCTGCTAGCCTCTCCTGGGGTATATTCGTCCGAGATTGCTACGGTAGTTCAGTCGTCGAAGCCCTCGAACTCGTCATCCTTTGACGCGGCCTTTTCCTTTTCCTGTTCCTTTTCCTGATTCTGCCTTCGCACCTGCGCGATCAGCGCTTCCAGCTCCATCTGCTTCACCTTTTCGTCCTCCGTCATGTTGGCAGACCGCTCGGCCTCTCTCTTCTTGCGCCGCTTCTCGCGCCTCTCCACGCGCACGTCCTCCTTCTCCAGCTTGCCGCTCCACGCCTCGTTCTTCTTGCGCTTGCGCTTCATGTCCTCCCGCTTGTTGTCCGCCGCGCCCGTCCTCTCTGCCTCGAGGGCTTCCAGCCTCGCCTGCTCCCGCGCCTTCTCCTTGTATGCAAACGTATCCCAGTCAATCTTCTCGCCCAGCATCTTGTCGCCCTCCCAGGTCTTGAGCTCGGGCATCCGGGGCATGCGGAGGAGACCCCATGCCTCGGCCAGGTCGGCCCAGTCGAGATCGCTCGCCCGGAATATCGACGTTGCCTGGTGGGCGCCGTAGCTCCGCACCCAACTGACAAAGGCTTTTTGTGCCTTGTCGTAGAGCGCCCTATCCGTCTTGACGAGTTTCCGGAACTTTTGCGTCGCTGAGCGGACTTCCTCGTCCGACACAGAGATTTCGGGTCTTGCTAGCGGGATGATGGGAGTCTTGCGCACTTCGAGAAACCTGACGTAGTCTTCCTCTCGCCCCGGATGCAGCATCACGACTGCCAGCCCCTTTCGGCCTGCGCGTCCCGCTCGTCCGCTTCGGTGAATAAAGACCTTGGGGTCTGAGGGCGCGTCGACCTGAACAACTAGGTCCACCTGGGGAATATCCAGGCCACGGGCCGCAAGGTCTGTTGTCAAGAGTATCGTAGGGGACACAGAAGTCAGGAATTTGTTGAAATTCCTTTCCCGTACTTTTGCGGGGTGCTTGCCGTGTAAGGGAACGAGGGCGAAGCCATCGGGAAGAACCAGGGGCAGAACGTGTTGGAAGTAGTCGACGGCGGCGCATGTTGACAGGAACACGATGCTCCTCTGCGGCCTGATTGGTAACCGCTCCATCAGCTGTGATAACGCAGGCAGTTTTTGGCTGGCTGGCTTCACCATGTACGCCATCTGTAGACTGGCGGGAGTCTTCCTGTCCTCCAGCACGCCACCGTCTTTCATCTTGACCCGAACCTCGATCTTGACCGGGTTCCGGAGTCCCACACGGATGATTTCGCTGACCGCCTCGCTGACACTCGCGCTGAACAGCCCCGTCCTTCTCTGCTTCGGTAGGTGCGAGATGATGCCCTGCAGGTCCTGCTTAAAACCCAAGTCCAGCAGCCTGTCGGCTTCGTCCAAGACGAGCATCTCGAACGAGGATTGCGGGCAGTGGACATGGGGCGATGCGAGCAGTTCGACGAGTCGTCCGGGGGACGAGATGAGGAGGTTCGGGCTGTGGCGCATGAAGAAGCTGAGGTCCTGAGCAGGCGTGGTGGTGCCTCCGACGAGCAGCTGAGGGACGACGACGGGGACTGCCGTCGACGGCCTCTTTTCGTCGTCCTTCAGGCGCGGCAGCAGCTCGGCTGAAGGGGCGTGGAATTGTAGCAGTGACAAGAGGACTGTATGTATCTGGGCGGCCAGCTCTCGCGTCGGGGAGACGATGATGGCAGCGACGTGGTGCCTCTTGGTGGGTTCGTCGAGTCGCAGCAGCCTTTGCACAATGGGTATGAGGAACGAGAGCGTCTTGCCGCTGCCGGTAACGGCCTGCAAGAAGAAAGTCGTTAGAGCTGCAAAGGGCCAAAGAATACGCCATAATATAAGGACGCAAACTCACCTCAACCACCACGTCCTTGTTGCCCATAAAGTGCGGAATCGTCGCCGCCTGGACGGGCGTCATCTGGGCGAAGCCCATGGTCGAGACGGCGTCCAGGATCCATTCGGCGAGGGGCGGCTTCAGCGCATCCCAAGCCCGGGCGCTCTTCTTCGCGGGGACTTTTCCCGGCGCCATTCTGGGCAATGCGACGATCGACGACAAGAGCTCGTCGTATCGTTGTCTGTCGGTGGTGTTCCCGCCGCCTTCTGCTTTCTTGGAGGGAAGTCCGCTGGACAAGAAATTTGTTATCTTATCAGCACGCGTGGGCGGGCCTGCTGCGCTGGGCTTGCTGGGACCTTTTTTTGCGTCTCAAAGGACGAAGTACGTACCCTTGAGGCGCCGTGCCAAGGGTAGATGCAAGCTAGGCCGTTTGGAGACCGGGCGGGTCGAGCGCATCCAATCCACGCAGTTCTCAACTGCCATCCAGCCAGGGTCCACTCACGACGAGATGCGCACGCACGACGGGATGGAAACAGTCGGGTCCAGCCCGCCGTTCTGTCAGCAGCAGCCGTCGCAGCAGCCAGCCCTTTCCGTAGCGCCCCCCAAACAGGAGGCGCTCGCGTGAGCAGCCATGGGCGCCCGACGCAGTGGTTGATGAGGGGCGCACGTGAGTCGACACAACGAGCAGAGTTGGGTCTTGCAGGACCTTACTGCACGGCGCGTCGTGGCGCGCAGGTGTATGAGACCTGTCGCCTTTGCGGGCCGCCGTCCGCGGTCATTCTGGGCCGTCACATGCCTGCGAAGATGCCCTTCGTCAGACTTCGACAGCGGCGGGACAGCGACTAGCGACGGACGGGTGGGCGCGCTTGGGG